CGGCTCACATCACCTTACAGCAGCGCTGCTTCTCGGCCGGAGCCTCCTCGGCCGGAGCCGTCAGTTTGAGGAGAGGGGGGTCGCCGGTGCCGCCGGTGGGTGCCGGTACCGGTGTCGGTGCCGGAGGGGAAGCGGGGTTCCCCGCCACGGGGTGCTCCTGGGGACGTGGGTGCTCCTCGGAGCGCGGGCGCTGGAGTTTGGCGGCCGCTCGGTGCCGTTTGAGGTCGGCGAGGGTATGGTGGGTTTTCTCCCGTGCCGGGTCCGTCGCAGTGACGCCGCCGACGCCGGGCTCCGGTTTTTTGGAACAGAGGGCCGTGCCGTTGCGTTGCGGCGGGAGCTCGGGGGGTTCTGCCATCGTCGATCCTGCGGGATCCTGTCGGAGCGGGGGGGGGAGAAAAAAGAAAAAAAGAGGGAACAGTGCGTCACCGCCCCGGCGACGCCGCGGTTGGGGCGGGGGGGGAGGACGGACCCTCAGCCAAATCCCCAGCGACTCACGGCCAAGCGGCGGCGGAGCTCGGCATCCGTCTGCCGGTCCTCGTCCTCGCTGTCACGGTGCTCGGCGCGTTGCCAGACGATGGCTTCGCGCTCGTGTTCCTTCCGGTAAAGGTTGGTGCGCTCCGAGACGCTCACCCGCCGCACCACCTTCCTGGGGAGGAGAATTTTGGATCCCCTCAACCCCCCTTCCCCAACAGTTACGGTTACTCCGGCACAGTGCCGGTAAGAGTTTCTTCGGCCTTACCCGCGGCTGCCGGCGCTGGAGGTGCGACGTTGGAGCAAGGATTTGTGTTTCTCATGGGATTTCATGACGGCGTCGTGTTTGTGTTTCAGCTCCAGGAGTTTGGCCCGCACCTCCTCGTCGCCGCAGACATCTGCCAGCAAGGGCAGCGGCGTCACCCGGCGCCCCCAAAAAAAACCCACCCCGCCGACATCCCCCCCACACACAAAAAAAAACACCAAACGCTTACCCAAGGGGGTCTCATCCAGCACCGATTTCCCGTTGAGGTTGGCGCCGTGAGCCACCAGCAGCTCCACCAGCTGCACCTGGGTGGGCAGAGGGACAGGTGGGGGTGAGGGACAGGAAAATCTGGCAGGGGTTGCCCGTCCCGCCCGTACCTACCTGTCCCCAACAAGCGGCGGCGTGGAGAGGCTCCCAACCGTCCTCGTCCCTGGCGTCGATGCCGGCCCGGTGCTCCAGCAGCAGCTCGGCCGCCTCCACGTAACCGTTGGCCGCCGCGATGTGCAGCTGCCGGGGACGGGGATGCGGTCAGGGACAGCTCAGCCGGCAGCGTCACCATCACCGCCATCACCACCAACGCACCCCCCCCAGCCTCTGCCCGTCCTACCAACGTGGCACCGTGTCCCCGTGGCGCGTCCAGGTCGGCTCCCGCCTCTACCAGCTGCCGGATCTCCTGCACCATGCCGCGCTCGGTGGCGGCGCGAGCCTCCTCGATCTTCTCCTGGGTGATACCTGCCAGTGGCAGAAGAGTGAGAGGGAGGGGGAACGCCGGGCCCTGCCCACCGCCCTGCCAGATTCCTGCCTTCACCCCAGAGCCGACCCCAGTTTGCCCGCACCGCGCCGGCGCAGTGAAGCTCACCCTGCTCCGCCATGGCAGTCTCGATGCAGTCGAGGGTCACCTCGTCCTCGCACAGGTCGTAGGGCATGTTCCCGTCCGAGTTGACGGCGAGGAGGTCGGCGCCGCTGTTTTGGGGACAGGCACACGGCGGTCAGGGCCACCCCACAGCCACCACGGTGCCCGTCCCCAGCCCCGGTTGCGCCGCGGTACCATTGGATGAGGAGCTGGACCAGGTGGAGGTGGCCGCAGGTGGCGGCAGCGTGGAGCGGCGTCCAGAGCTCGCTGTCATGGGCGTTAACATCGGCGCCGGCTTCCAGCAGCACCGTCACCACATCACCGTAGTCGTCGATGCAGCACTGGGAGGGACAAAGCACCGGCGGCAGTTACAGGGGGCGGTGGTATCGGGGAACCTCCCCCCCACCGAAGCACCCCAGGATCTCCCGGGGATGGAGCCGGGACAGATTCGGACACCGCGGAGGGATGGAGCCGGCACCGGGATCCCTGCGTGTCCCCAGCCAAGCTGGAGGGAAGCGATTCCTGGGCCGGCACCGGCGCACACCGCGGCTCGTTGCCGAGTGGGTCCAGTCGCGTTGGCCGACGCAGGAGGGGTGCGACGCTTAACTCTGGGCACCTGAACAGCTGGTGAACACCGGCCCGGCACAACCGTGCCCTCTCTGGCACGGCACCGCTTGGACGGACACGCCAACCCCCTGCCTGAGCCCCGGTGCCACCACCTCATCCAGCCCCCGGTGCGGTGACGGCTCAGCACCTGGCACCTCCCACCACACTTGGCTCCGGCCACAGCAGGACCCGGCATCACCAGACAGAGCCCGTTAACGGGATGGAAAGGACGGAGGGAGAGAAGCCAGAGCTGCCGTAACGGTGCCGGCGCGGCGTACCTGGTGCAGCGCGGTGAGACCGTCCTCGTTGCAGAGGTCGGGGCTGATGCCGCTCTGCAGGAACTGCCGGACTGCGGAGAAAAAGGTTTTTACCGAGGGTCCTGGCGGCACCGCAGGCAGCTGCCTGCACCTCGGAGCATCCCGCCGGCATTAAACCCAGCACCGGCGCTTTGGCCGGTACGTTGGACTCGCCACATTCAAAGTCCCGCCGCGCTGATGCCAAACGATGCCAAACCTGGGTAGCTCTGGGCGCCCGGCATGCCACGGCCGGCGCCAAGCGGGATCTGGGAAGCCGTGTGCCATAGCCAGGTTTACGGATGCCGGCTCTGAGCTGCCGGCTCGTTTCCAGGGATATTTGGAAGCAAAATCGGGAATTATGTCCCATTTGTAACCCCAAAACCGTTTGATTTGGGGTTTCAGGGGTTCCAGGTTTCCCAGAGCCCCCCCAAAAGCAGCAGCTCCGCCAGCCCCACCGCCGGCACCCACCTTCCTCAGCGTCCTGCCGGGCGGCCGCCTCCAGCAGCCGGACACTGGCGGGGAACGTCACCCTCTTCCCCTGGCTGTTGCTCTTCCTCCTCCTCTTCTTCCTCTCGGCTCCAACCTTCATCCCCTGCATCTCCTTCTCCGTCTGCGCCCATTTTTTCAGCTGCTGGGCCCGGCGTTTCTGAGCATGCTTCAGTCGCTCCGGCGTGCTCAGCCGTGCCACCGCCGGCATCTCCGCCAGCAGCTCCGCATGCTCGGCCATGGCGAGGAGCTTTGCCGGAGAACACAGCGTATCCCACCGGGAACGGGGTACGGAACCGCCGGCTCCCCCACCAGCATCACCCGCAGCCCCTCAGAGTGGGGACGGGTTCGGCTTATCCCTGTATCCCAGTATTTTCCCGGAGCTTCGCCACGGGCTCCAGAGACAGGGATCGGCGTTTCGGAACCATCTCCCCCCCGCCGGGTGCTCCCGGCCCCCTCTTTCAGCACCCAAAAATCGCAGACGGGGGGAGGCCAGAGGGTCCTGTTAAGCGTCGGGGGGGGCACCCCCCCCCCCGCACCCCACGCTGGCCAGCGGTTTTGGACAGAGCCGGCCGGCGACGCTGGATCCGAAGGCACGGAGGAGCAAGGCAGGTGTCAAGGCCGGAGAAATCCTGTCAGTCCGATCCCCAACGCTTGTTTGCCACCTAATTATCCCAACGAGTTTTCGCTTTCCCGCCCTCCAGAAGCGTTTGCTGGTCATTCAGCAGCCGCCACTGCTCCCGTCTCACCGAGGAGCCGATGGCCCGGCTCGGAAAACTGCCGTCGGGCAGAGGCACAGGCAGCGCTGCTGGAATCGCGGTAGCTTCTCAGATATCACCGTGCCGGGGCTCCGGCTTCTCCCGGCCACAGTGGGACGAGCTTCACGCAGCAGCCGGAATCCTGCGGGGAAAAAGGGAAAGAAATCTTTAAAGGACGGGGAGAGGTCTGGCACAGCCCGGCTTTGCTGGTAAGAGCCGCACCGTGCCCAACCCACTGCCTGTTTTGCCGTCTTCCTAATCCGGGATTAACCTACAATCCAAGTTGAAGTGAATTCCCCCAGGGCTCCGGCCGAGGAGCTGCCTTCGCCGAAACCGCCGCACCCCGGCGAGCACCGGCACGGCCGTGCCGACGGCACGCCGGTAACCTTGAGGGGTCACCTGCCGCACCGGCGGGCGAGGACGGCACCTCACCGGGAAGAAACGCCGATCCTCCACCGGCCAAGGGGATCCCGGCGCGTCCCGGCCGGAGCAGCCCCGCCAGTGCCTGCCAGTTCGGCACGGTTAAACCGGGAGAGCCAAAGCCAAGCGCCTCGCCCCCACGCCAGCATTGCCCGGCGGGCAGGGCGGATGCCGTGGGCAGGAGGGACAGGCAGGAAAGGGCAGATTCCGGCAGAGCCGGCGCCCTGCGGTCCCCAAACCGGGTTCCCCTGTGAGTCGCCGCGACTTCAGCGGGCAAAGTCCGGCAGAAAAAAAAAAACATTCCTGCACCTTAATCCCGGCGTAAATCCCTCAGGAACGCCGGCGGGCACTGGGAATGCCGAGGCTGGCGGTAAATCCTTTCCAAAGTCGGTGGGCGATGGAAGAGGGGGATCGCCTGGACACCGGGATCACCGGAGCCTCTCGGGCCACCCATCCCGTAATCCTGCCGGCCGTGGTTTCACTGGGAATGGCCGTGCCACGGGCAAGCGCCGGCAGAAAACCGGAGCCGGCATCCTCAGCACAACTCAACCCCTTGACGGGCTCACAAATCCACCCAAAAATCCCCCACCCCCCCAAAAAAA